GGGGGGTGAGAGGACTTATCGGGGGTGGCCAGCCAGTGGCCAGCACAGTACAGCCAGGAGCCCCAGCCTCTTGATTCCAGGCCAGTTCTTCCTCTACTCTCCTCACTGCTCAGCCCAGGCCGTGGTAGATGGAGCTTTGCTTCCGCTTGTCGAGCTTGTGGTGCGGATGCTGTTGCTAAGGTTACTGGGTGAGCAGAAAACAGAAACAGCCCATGGGGTCCCACTGCCTCCAAATGTGTATCCAGGCAGTTCCCATCTCGGCCAGAGAGACACAGGGAGGTTTATCGATCTGGGCTGAGCACATGTGCCGTGGCCTGAGGAGAAACAGCTGCCCCGCACGGCAGCCTGTACTCCCGGAGTGCTCCTCCTAAGCATGTTTTGGACAGGATGCTAAAGGCAGGGGCCGCCGATGAGAGATGGCCGTTGCTCGAGTGTGCCAGTTGTCCATAGGCGACATGGCCAAAATGGCCCAAGGCCTGGGTTCTAGCTGCATTTCTTGGTTTATTTCGAGCACCTGTGGAGTGAAGGGGCTGGGGCAGACCTCAACTCACTTCTATGCCTCTGGCCCCCCTATTCTCCCCCGAGACGGACCCCTCCGAGCTTTCAGACAAGGACCTGTCTTTCGGAGCTATGTGATACTGACGGCCACCTTTCTCTTGTTCCAGGGGTAGATTAGCTGTGCAGTGCACTGGCCAGGGCCCTCCTCACCTCCTGTTCGTAACGCTCCTTTAGCAAACCCACTAAAGGTGATCCCAAAGGACAGAAAAGACAGGGACCATCTTGATGAGCCAGATGGACTGCAGTGACAATGCAGAGGACGGTCGAGTCATGAAGAGGGGCTGAAATTCCGTCTAAGCCACAGAAAAGGAGGGGAAGGAGGTGCAGTGACTGTACCCTGGCCTCTGGTGGCCCCAGGAAGAAGCAGAGCGTGTCCACACCTAAGGCCAACTTCATGTGGGGACTCCCTGCTTTCTTTGGGGTGCAATTGGAAAAGGCAGATCAGACCAGGGAACTAGTCAGAGAGCTTTGATCTTTGGGGGTCTGAGAGACTTATAAGTAGCCGAGGCTCAAGACTCAACTCTTGACATCAGAATGGCCACTTTAAACGCTGCCCACACCTACGTGCTGGCTTCCCACACCCCAGCCACCAGCAACCGGCCGTTGCCTGCATCTGCTTTTCTGCCTCTGTCCCTCGACACCATTCTCCACTCAGTGCCAGCTGTACGAGAGAGGATACGAGGGTCGTATGAGCTAGGACAACGGAGGGCAGAGGTGCAGCTGAGGCTCGGGAACATCTGACACAGGAGGCTCGGACCCCACCAGGGCTCCGTCTCCTCACCTCTTACTCCACGTCCCTTCAGGTGCCCACTTCACTCTCTGTTGATGCCGATCTCCCCATATTTCAGAATGCACAGCTGCCAGAACCCCTGCCACACACAGCTGTACACAGCTCTGAACTGAGCATCCCCGACATTCTGCCGAAGGTACTGGCAGCTTTACATCAGAACATCTTGGGTGAGGATTCTGAGTAGGCGGGTTTGGTCAGGTGCCCACTCTAGATAGAGAGGCAAAGAGGGTGAAGCAAGGTGCTAGCAGGTGGCTCCTGTGGGCCACAGGGAGAAGGACTTGAAGAAGAGAGGAGAGGGGTGCAGGCAGACAGGCCCATGGACATCCCCTACAGGTCTCCAGCTCAAAGCCCAACTCAACAGTGACCTTCTCCAAAAGCCTCTCAGCTCCCCTTAGGCTGGAAATAACATTCTCCTCCTCTCCATCGCCAGCACAGCGTTTTCATCTCTCTATTTACTTCTCTGTGCACTTGAGGATGGGTTTACAATGTATCCCCTTCTGAATACCTTTTTTAAAGAGGTTTTTGCCTTAGGGTGTGTGCTCTCGCTGGAGAGAAAGAGACAGACAGCAAGAAGGCAAGTGAGAAATCACTCCCTATGGCGAGATGGCCATACCACAATCCTTTTTCTTCCTTTCTCTGCCTGGGATCTTGGGCATGCACGTGCACAAACCCAGCGTGATTTTCAAAGCCACCCAGTCTGGGACTCGAACTACAGTCGGCCATGTGGAAGTCCAGTGTCATTACTGCTATACCATCAGCTGGCCTCCTGAATACCTTTTTTGTACAAATGTTGGTGTATGTTGACTGAAGGGAAAAAAATAGAACATGGGTAAACAAAAAAACTTTAAAAGGAATAGAGAAAAATGACTCATGACTCCGCTCTCCGGAGGTACTCAGTGTTAGCATTTGGGGCGTTGTCGGTATTTATATTTATGTGTTTTGCTGCCTGCATGCAGCTCCCTGAAAGTTAAGTACAAATCTCACCACCTCTCTGCACCCCCAGAACCACCAGTGCTTCCATCCTACAGGGACTCTGCATTCTGAATAAGCAGGTGAATAACAAAAAAATAAACAAATGCATAAGTGAACTGAACGTCAGAGAGGAAGTTCTTTTATTTGAAATTTGCTACAGAAGAGAGAAAAGGCAGGCTCAGTGGCGCAGCAGTAACGACTGCTCAGGCTACACTAGATGCACACGGAGGATCACCGGGAGCTCTGCACACCCAGTGTGTGCCCGTGGTTCGGCGGGCTGGCAGGGCTGGAGGGCAGTGCAGTGGTACTTGTGGTATGACATCCTATTGAGGGTGCCTGCCTTTTTTCCCACTGTCTCTCACTCTTATAAAAGAAAGAGATGTGAGAGAGAGAGAAAGGAAGAAAGGAAGAATGAAAGAAGAAAAAAGAAAAATAAAGGAAGCAAAGGAAGGGAAGGGAAAGGAAGAGAGAGGAAAGGAAGGTCAGCCAGAGGTGTGGTGGTTAAGGAAGTTGGATCCCACATGGCCAACTACATGTTTCGAGTCCTGGCAGCTTGAAACATGCTCCAGGCATGTGTGCCTGTATACCCAACATCCTGAGAGTGGGTAGAGAAGGGATTATGGCATGGTCATCTCCTCTGGGGAGTGCTTTCTCACTTTCCCTCTCTGTCTCTGGTGAGCGCACAAACTCTATAGCAAAAAAAAGAAAAGAAAAGAAAAGAAAAGAAAAGGCTTTCTCACTTTCCCTCTCTGTCTCTGGTGAGCTCACAAACCCTATAGCAAAAAAAAGAAAAGAAAAGAAAAGAAAAGAAAAGAAAAGAAAAGAAAAGAAAAGAAAAGAAAAGAAAAGAAAAGAAAAGAAAAGAAAAGAAAAGAAAAGAAAAGAAAAGAAAAGAAAAGAAAAGAAAAGAAAAGAAAAGAAAAGAAAAGAAAAGAAAAGAAAAGAAAAGAAAAGAAAAGAAAAGAAAAGAAAAGAAAAGAAAAGAAAAGAAAAGAAAAGAAAAGAAAAGAAAAGAAAAGAAAAGAAAAGAAAAGAAAAGAAAAGAAAAGAAAAGAAAAGAAAAGAAAGAAAAAGAAAAGAAAAGAAAAGAAAAGAAAAGAAAAGAAAAGAAAAGAAAAGAAAAGAAAAGAAAAGAAAAGAAAAGGAGAAGGAAAAGATGCTCAGGCAGCACAGGTTCCCACCCTCCAGTCCTTTTTCAAGCCTCCTCTGCTCCTGTCAGGGCAGAGCTAGGCCTGGAAGGGAGCGGTGTGTGAACAAGCCAACCACACAGTAGCCTTGGTGGAAATACAGAGCGAGGCCCTCTCCTCACCGTGTGACTATGACTTGGAATTGTCAGCCGTGGTTTAAGGGAAAAGAGGATTCATGGGAATAACCAAGTCAAGGTCACCACATGCATGCAGGGTTTCAGGCTCAGCAAGCAGTCTGGCGAATGCAAAGCCTCTGGCGAAGGGGTTCCAAGAACTCTGGTTTTAGCAGTGCAGTTGACGAGGCCGTCCCGTGACTTGCCCCTCACTGCGTGGAAGATTATCATTGATTTATCTAGAGTAGAAACAGCAGGACTCCACATCATGTCTTGGAAGGCAGCCTGGGCAAAGGCAGAGAATTAACAGATCTTTTTTCTTAATTCCAATACCACAACTCCCAACGGATCTGAGCAGTGAATCACAGGCTCCCCTAACAGGAGTTTCTCTGTGTTTAAGTGAAGCTAATTTTTTTTTTTTAAATTAGGGCAGATCCTCATCCTTAGTTATAAAGAAAATCTCAAAATCACAAATAAAAACCTGCCAGGTGCCCCAGGAGATGTGAAATAAGTATCACGATCCTTACATTTCATTCATCCGAACATCAGACATTTACTGATGAGCCCTGTGCCAGCTACGGGCTGTTACAGCACATTGCAGTTCCTAAGCCTTTTAAACGTGAGAGGATGAGGCTCTGGGAGGTTACACAATTTAGTCAGCTTGCCACAGCCACATGGCTTGTGAAAGACTTGGGATTTTAAAAAAAGGGAATCTGACTGTTGATATTATTTTATTATCTTTTTTTGTATGCTGAGGGCATGTGCATGCGAGACAGAGAGAGAGAGAAAGAGGAAGCAACCCCCAACGGGGCCTGTTTACGCTGTAATCCTTTCTATTTCAACTCTCCATCCCATCAGGATCCTGGGCACACACGAGTGCTCAGCCCAACATGTAAACTACCGGGCCAGGACTCGAACCCTGGTTGGCCATATGGGATCCAGCTTTCTCTGCACAGTGCATAACTTCTGCTATACAGGGTCAGCCTGTCACAGTTTTATAGGTTTGGTTGTTTGTTTCTGTTTGTTTGTTTTTATCATTTTAATGCCACTCATGCAGCCTTAGAAAAATGCAGCCCATAATTGCCTGAACGTTCATTTCACTAACCCAGAACAAGCCACGACTCATGCCAGGGAAGTAGGAAAAAGATTTGAAGCCATTTTTGCTTATACCTCTCCCAGGAGACGCTTGTATGTGCCAAACCAAGTTTCACCACCCTCCCCGCCCTCCACCCTCTGCTCTACTTACCATGGTGGTCTGCTGGTGTCTGGCCTTCACGCAGTGCCCATAAATGGGCCTGGGGCAGGGGCTGCTCAAGCACAAGCCTGCAGACCACAGTGATGAACAGAAGAACAGCAAGTTTCATTCCCTCAGCAGTGTTTAGCTACTGGCCTCAGAATTCTTTATTCTCAATGTGGAAGCATGCTTGGGTACTGAGGGAAAGGACCCTGAACTCTGGAGTTTTGTAGACCAGTGTTCAAATCCCAGCTCCACCTTTTGGAAGTGGTATGAGCTTGGGCATGATGTTTAGCCCCTCTGCGACTTCATTTTATCCCCCTTGAAAGGGGGCAATACCTACCCTGCGGGGAGGTTCAGCTTGATAAAGTATGCATGAGGTCCGCGATGCAGGGGTTGCTCAATCAATAGTAACCATTATTACTGTCCAGAAAGAAATCACGGGGCCAGCAGATGACGGCACTGTTATGTTGCTGGACTCCCACGTGGCTGACTGTGATTTGAGTCCTGAACCTGGTGGTTGAAAATCATGCTAGGCGCGTGCAGTGCCTGCTCGAGATCCTGAGAGGAGAATGGAGGAGAAGGGATTGTGGTGTGCCCATCCCCCCTGTGTGGGGCGTGATTCCTCACTTTCCCTCTCACTATCTCTCCCCTGCACCGTGTGCACATGCCCTGAGGCAAAAACCTCTGGGTAAATAGACAAATAACTCTCATTCTAAAAAGGGAGCTGTGAGTTTCTGAAGCCATGAACTAATAATTATTTACTTAAGGTCTCTTCTTTAAGAGAAGGATGAATAAAAATTGTGAAAACCCTTGCCCACTCCTCCAGGAGGGAGAGACCTACACAGAGAGTAAGTAAAAGCATGCCAAGGAGTGACTTTCCATACGCGAGCACATTCTCCTGGGTGTCTGCAGCCTTGGAGATAAAGGCGGTGAGTGTGGGCAGATGGAGGCCCCTGGGAGACTCCCGGCATCTCAGGTGCCCACCCACAGGTCCGGTTTCCATGCCCTGTTCCTCTCCTCCTTCCCCAGAATTGGCTTTTTGGCCTACACAGGTATTTTCCTTCCCGAGAGCTGCTGAGGACCCAGAGCATCCTCGGTTATCTGCTCCCCGGTCTGGCTGGCTCCTCGCTGGGCTCTGACCTCACCTCTGGCGTCAGCCTTATCAGGTGTGGACAGAATCGTCTCCCCTGTTCTGGGAGCGCCAAGCCCAAGATTCTCCTCCCATCCAGGCCCCTTTCTGCTGCAGAGGAGAGCCAGGCCCCTCTGGACTAAACATGTGGTCATCTGTCAAATTAGGAGTGACCCCAGGGGTCTGCAAGTAGAGCTGCAAGGCCCAGAATTGGAGCAGAAGGTGAGGTTTATGTTCAAACAGCGCAGACCCCGAGCTTGACAAAGCAGGAGTGAGGGAGGATGGCCTGGGGAGGCAGCAGCGTTCCCCAGCCCAAGTCCTCCACGGAACGCCAGCAGGGATGGGACTTCACTCCTCACAGAGAGCAGGAGAGCCAGCTGAAGCCAGTCTTTTGAGAAGGGGGTCTTGGGTGACCGAATAGGAAATGAGAAAGCTGACTGGGAACCAAAGAGGCAGATTGGACCCTCTGCTGCTGGGTACCTGGCATCCGTACCAGCTGCTCTGTGTCAACCACTGTGCCGTAAAGGGGGGTGGGGGGGCTGGCCTATTTGAGTCTTCCTTGGAGTTTAAGGCCTGGAGGTGGGTGGGGGTGGATTTTTAATTAGAATTCAATCCACAGGGCCCCTTTGTCCTGTCAGTCAGCTCCAGCCTCTTGCTTGTTTGCACTGGGACTCTTGCCTTTATTAGACTGCTAGTGTCTGACAGTAAATGATAACTCATTTGAACTGTCACCAGAATCACAGCTGTGTGGTTCCCAGAAGCTTCGCACACCAGCGTTCACATCCTGGGGCTTGGATGAGAGGCAACAGTTGGACCACCTCGCACCGTGGAGATGGCCGGTCAGAAGGTCACAGGCACCCAGTGGGCCAGGCCTTGGCCTGAGGTGGTAAGGAGCCGGGTGGGCTGGCAAACCCATGAGGGCTCGTGCCTGGGACTGGTGGCTGCACCTTTGTCAACAAAAGAGATGAACAGAAACACAGTGGGACTAGGTGACCTGGAGAAAAGGGAAGCCCAAGGGACAGACACTCTTCCTTCCCTCCAGGTTAGTTTCCTTGTGCAGCCCCACTGTGCTCAGACCCCGTGAGCCACAGCTAAGAATTCATCCTTCAGAAACACACGTCGTGAAGGTCGTTCAGTGTTCATGCAGTGTTGCACGAAGTAGCAGAGACTGGGAGCAATCTAAACACCCATCAGTAAAGGACTGATTAAATAATTTATGGTCCGCGCATGCAACAGCATGTTATAAATGAAGCGCCTCACGTACTGACGGGGAGGATCTTAGCATACATCGCCACGTCAGATACCACGAGGTTCCAGACCTGTGTGATATCATTTGCTTACAGGGTGGGGAAGGGAGAAGAATACATATTTATGTTCTTGTTTATGAATAAACGATCTTCGGAAGAATTCCCAAACTGATAATATTGTAATAGGTTATTCCTCCA